GCAAGGGACAGAAGTAAAAATGCTGGCCATAGACGGGACGAAAATGAGATGAATTTTTTGCCATTGGTGGTAACGTCAGCTGATCGAACGACCAATTTTTTTTCATATATTAGGCCCAATTAACCTAACAGCATGTCTTTGGAGTGTTGGCAGAAACACACCCGTGCAGAGAAAGCATGCAAACTGAGATGCAGCCATGACTGGGATTAGAACTCATGACCCACGTGCTGTAAGTTCTGAGTTCTAACCACTAAGCCACTGTAGGAGACAGAGTTTGAGATGCAATGTAGAATAGTTATATTGTTTAAAAATAATGATAAAGCAAGCACTCGTCAAATTATATAGACTACTAAAATGGTATTACATAAGATCAATATATATATGAAGATATGAAGGTAGCAACTAGCACTCAGGGTATTGGCAACAGTCCCAGAATAGAAATATGTTAAAATAATAGTGCAGTGCTATAAATGCATGTTATCAATCATCAACGCATGTAAAATCCAAAAAGTGCAATAATTTATTTATCTTAGGTACTTTTATAGTGCTGTCAATTTATGCAGTGCTTTACACATATATTGCACATTCAAATCAGTCCCTAACCCTCAAGGGGTATACAATCTAAGGTCCCTAATTCACATTCATACACTAGGGCCAATTTGGACAGGAATCAATACACCTACCAGCATGTCTTTGGAGTGTGGGAGGAAACTGGAGTACTCGGAGGAAACCCATGCAAGCACAGGGAGAACATGCAAACTCCATGCAGGAGGTGCCATGGTCAGGAATTGAACCGATGACCCATTTACTGCAAGGCAGATGTGCTAACCATTAAGACACTATGCTGCCCATTAATGATGATGTAAACTGGTAAATGGTGCTAAAAAAAAGTTCATATTATCATTCCTGAATAATGGAATGTCCTTCGTGTCAGAGTACCAACTCAGAGAGTGCCTATGAATGGCACGTGTGGTTTATCCGTGACGAACAGTAGTGCATGAACTCGTGAAAGGTAAACCACCCTTGGGACGTGTGTATTACACTATTAAGCACCTTTCTGGCTCCTGTGGCTGAGCTAATTCCTCCCCTTACCATTTTGGCACCCACCCGAATGGATGGATGGAGCTGGATGACTAACCCATAGCTGCCAGCATACCGCTGCACCCCCAGATGTGTGATGTGTATAACCCATGCGCATTAATACCCTAACATAGAATAGTTACATAATTAAAGAGAAGGAAGCTGTATCATTATATTGGTAACTTAGAACTAGACATTCCAAATTATTTGAGATATAAGTGTGAAAATGTTTAACATTTGAAAATAGAATGTATGACATTCATTAGTAAATGCATTGTCTGATCATTTTGGAGAAACAGCAAAAAAAAATAATTATAATATAGGTGTACTTTTTATGTTACATTCTAAGTATTCTCTTATGCAAACAGGAAAACTCCAACAGTACAAACCCCGCGCTTGTGCGCCATCTAGCGAAAATATCCGGTATTGCACCTAAAAGTGTGCTAGACGCGATTCCACATTTACCAATAGTAAAGTAGACGTTCGTCAATGAGATTGCTAGACGCCTCTCAGAAGACTGACAGGTCTTGATTGATTTCATTGAGTCTGCCTGAATGTTCAGAGTCTGCTGGCAGACTCAAGTCTTAGTAAATCAGGGCCATCTAGTTATCAATACAGAAGCTCAGTTTACTGCTCAAGCGAGTACTTTTCTGCTCCTTCTCAGAATAGGGCAAACAGCAGGAAGAATCTTTGGAATGTGGTATCTCTGTCAGTTTTGTCAAACTTCCCAATGCAGAGCTCTCCTGGATATGATGATCCCTGCATTTGCATTCCTTATGCTACCCTGGGCACACTGGATTCTCTGGACATTCCAAAAAAATGTCCTTTTTTGCAACACAGAAGGCAGCACTTGAGCCAACTCAAAGTGCTTCTCCTCAGATGTGCAGGAGCCTCTGGTTTATGGGTGTGACAGGGGATCACTCGATCCCATATGGTAGTATGTTCATTATTGCGGAACAATGTAACCTCCAATGTCTGTGCTACAGGGCTGATCGCCACCTGCAGTTACTATGTGCACTGTTACCTTGTATTCAGGCTTGACTGGTTGTTCTGCACAACAGCAGTATCATGGGTTTAGAAATAAAAGAAAATTCAACAGCAGGTTCCAATGGAAGTGGAACCATCATGTCCATGACTGAATGTAATCTTAAAGGGCTATGGGCAGTGTTCCTTCTGGGTGCCCAGGATGCCAAAAGGAGCTGTGGCACCAGGTGTTTTTGGTTCCCAGTGAAGGGGTCTTTAATCAAAAAGATCTTGCCCACATCACTTAAGTATTGGGCCTCCCTCAGTTGATCCTGTTTGCATCACCAACTTTTCACATGGTGCCGCTCTTGCTACCCTCAACCATTGGTGCAGGAAGTGGACACTCTCACTCACCCAAGGAATAGTCGCCTAGCAAATGGCTTTCCTCAACTGTATTTGGTCATGAAGTTCCAGGGGAGACTGTTGTCCGAAAGTCTCCCTGTGATAACAAGTATGCCCGATTGGCCTGGTCTGGGTTTTGCCCGATTAGCCTGGTCTGGGTTTTGCCCTAGCTATGGAACTGGAATTTGAACTAAGCACTTCAGCTACAAGTGTTTCCACGACACCTAGCTCAGGATAGACTGCCAGTGGTAAATCCTGGCAGGGTTTTGGGAAGGATGTCAACAAATGCTATTTACTTAGCAGAGCAGGATTTTGATCCTAGCAACCGGAAGGGTCACCCAGTTGCTATTGGTCAGGGTCAGCAAAGCGTCGTCTGAAAATTTTCAGACATTTTCAGACGACGCTTTGCTGACCCTGACCAATCCGATAACAATGCTTCTGAATCTACATTCACTGCTGTTCCAATTTGCGGAATTTTTTAGGCTTATAGGTCAATCCCCATAAAACAACTGCCTTAAATGTCTCTTTACCAGAATACAGTCGCTCTCCTTCAAACCTCTTTCCTGTACCGCTGGGCGTCCTCTTCCCTCACTTACCTTGGAGTGAAACTAACCCATTCCTATTCTTCTCTTTTTGCTGCTAATTATTATCCTCTTTTGCACATGGTCACCTCCCTCTTACGCTCTTGGCATTCTCCCACTTTGTCCTGGATAGAGCACATCATCGCCGTCATGATGACAGTACTCCCGAAATTACTCTATTTTTTTAAGGACGCTTCCGATCCAGGTCCCCTGATTTTTCTTACGCTACCTGCAGAATAAGCTTTTAGCCTTTATTTGGGCCACAAGTGCCCCAGAGTGGACCGCACCACTCTATTTGCCAATCGGATGAGAGGGGGCCTTGGGGTTCCAAATATCACAAAATATTATCTGGCGGCTCAAATCTCCATGCTACTTCTGACATTCTGCTTTGGGTGATATTGGAGGGCACTGACTGTGCCCCTGTCCCAGTCTCTGATCTCCTCTGGCTGCCTCCTTCCCTCCGCCCGTCTCCACTTAGCCCATTGATGACCAATAGTTTACGTGTTTGGGATTCGATTAGTCTCTTGGCCAAACTAATGTCCCCCTTTCTTCCTCTCCTGCCTTTGTTGAGCAACCCCCTTTTCCCCTGGGTTTGGTGCAACCTCAGGTTTTAGCTTGGTGGCCCACCCACGGCTACTCCCATCTACATCACTTTTTGTGCTCTCATTCATTCTCTTCCTGGTCATCTATTTGCGAAGTCCATGGTGCCACCATTGACGGAATGGTACCATTACGCGCAGATTAGACATTGGATCTCCTCTCTTTGTCGCGACTCTGTCTTTCCTTTCTGGAAAACGCCATTCGAACACATATGCCAACACTCTTCTGGAGCCAGGGGCACTCTCTACTCTATTCCCATCCTCTTTTGACAAATTCCTCTGGCCCCCATCCTTATGTTTTAAAATAGGAACGCGACCTTACGGAACAATTAGCCCTGGAGGTTTGGAGTAGGGCCTGGTTGGCTGTAGCCAAATGTTCCTTTAACACTACCACAAGAGAAGCGACATATAAAGTTCTTTTCCAATGGTAATGGGTCCCTGCGCGGATTACCCATGCGAACCCATCCTGTGGTGTTCGCTGTTTCAGAGGTTGTGGAAGCCGTGGAGATGAACTTCACATATGGTGGATGTGTCCACGATTGGTGGGCTTTTGGTACAGAGTATATGGTCTTTTGTCAACCCTTTTCCACTCGACCTTCTGTAGAAACCCCCGTCATGTGCTCCTCCATTGCCCACTTCCTGGCCTTCTATCTCATCAGCAAAAATTGTCTACCTATCTCTTTATAGCAGCTAAAAGGGCCATCGCTAGGGCCTGGAAGAAGCCAACTGTCCAGTTCGTGGAGGTGAGAACAATTATGACCACCCTCATGATCCATGAAAAAATGTTGAGTATCCTTAACCACTTCAAGTCCGGACACTTTTACCCCCTTTCTGTCCAGGCCAATTTTCAGCTTTCAGTGCTATCATACTTTGAATGACAATTGCACGGTCATGCAACACTGTACCCATATGAATTTTTTAGCATTTTTTTTTAGACAGATAAAGCTTTATTTTGGTGGCATTTATTCACGAATGGGATTTTAATTTTTTTTTGCTATAAAGAAAAAAAGTTTTTCTTATAAAATTTTGCAAATAAAAATTCTTTCTTCATAAATCTTGGCCAAAATGTATTCAGTTATCTTTTTAGTAAAAAAAATAACCCAAATTAATTTATAACCAAAAGTTTAAATTTTTTAAAAATATTTTTTACATTTTTATTTTATTTTTTTATATTATTATTTATGGGGAGGGTTTTTTTAACATACTGTCACCCTAGCAGTACAGTGTCACCATGGTGACACTACTACTTGTGGGGGGTGATGAAGATTTTTTTGTTTTGTTTTACACTGATTGCTTTTACACCCATAAATGCTTTAAAAGCAATCATTTCTCCCTTCTCTCTGGCTGCATTCTTGCAGCCATTGAGAAATACTGTGTGAGCTGTGATTGGTCACAGCTGGTCACATGGTACAAGGCTGTTGTGAATGGCCTTGTACCATGTGACCTCTGTGATCATTCACAGATTTCACACGTAGTAAGCAATGATGTCAAACGTGAAATCTTATAGAGTAAAACAAAGTGAGCTCTCTATATGAAGCAGCTGTAGCACTAAGGTAACCAAACAAAACCTCAATAAAACTAAAACTGAAGTGCAGCGCTAATAAATAGTGACAGTTAAAAGTTCATAAAAGTTAATAAATAATATGTAATATATTAATGATCCCAACCGCAGCAGAATTCAGATGCTTGTACTTTGAAGTTATAGTAAAATTGCGCACTCACCAGATGCACATTAAATATACGCATATAAATATATCCACCACGGACCACTTAAGGGAGCGGGGTATGTCTGGCAAGCTTCCTTCTAGGTATGGAACAGCACAGCAGTGAGGACTTGGGAGTAATTAAGATCTGCTGATCCAGAGGTCCCGTTTAGGATGGATGGGTCTGCAGCCTGTTTACTGGGATTCCCTTCCTCTGGGTGCTTGGATTAGTCAGGATCATCTGCAGGCTCTGTAATTTAATAGCTCCATAAAGGAGCCACAAAAGAAGTGCCTATAGTGTAGTAGATTAAATGCTTTATTCCATGGAAATTGTAGGTTAAAAGGGTTAACAGTATTGCAGAGTGAACGCAGCACTGACCAAGAGTAAAGATGACCGCCGGACCTACACGTGGCTCCAGCGGCATGACGTCACGGCGTGTTGGTTCCTCCTAAAGCTTTTCGTGTCAAGCACGTCCTCAGAGGGGAGACCAACACTGCCATGACGAACGCTGATTCCTTATATAGGAAAAATGCGCATCGTATGGATGCCATTTTGCCATGGATTGAAGTCACGATAACAACTACAGTTGCAAGAAAAAGTATGTGAACCCCTTGGGATTACGTAGAGTTCTGCATGAATTGGGCATAAAATGTGCTCTGAACGTCATCTAAGTCACAACAATAGAACACAGTCTGCTGAACATAATGCTACACAAACATTAGATGTTGCCATGGTTTAATTGCACATAACATGTAAACATTCACAGTGCAGGGAGGAAAAAGTATGTGAGGCCCTAGCTTAATGACTTCTCCCAGAGCTAATTGGAGCCAGGAGTGAGCCAACCTTGACTCCAATCAGTGTGATGATATTGGATGTGTTGCTGACAGCTGTCCTGCCCTTAAAAAACACACACCTGTTTTGGGTTTACTGGTTTCAAGAAGCACTGTCTGATGTGAACCATGCCTCGCAGAAAAGAGCTCTCAGAAGACCTACGATCAAGAATTGTTGACTTGCATGAAGCTGGAAACGGTTACAAAAGTATCTCCAAAAGCCTTGATGTTCATGTGTCCACGGTAAGACAGACTGTCTACAAATGGAGAAAGTTTAGCACTGTTGCTACTCTCCCTAGGCGTGGTCGTCCCGTAAAAATGACTGCAAGAGCACAGCGCAGAATGCTGCATGAGGTAAAGAAGAATCCCAGAGTGTCAGCTAAAGACCTACAGAAATCTCTGGCACATGCTAACATTTTTGTTGACACATCTACAATAAGGAAAACAATAAACAAGAATGGAGTACATGGGAGGACACCACGGAGGAAGCCATTGCTGTCCAAAAAGAATATTGCATCACGTTTGAAGTTTGCAAAAGAGCACCTGGATGTTCCATAGCACTACTGACAAAATATACTGTGGACAGATGAAACCAAGGTTGAGTTGTTTGGGAAGAACACACAACACTATGTGTGGAGAAAAAAAGGCACAGCACACCAACATCAAAACCTCATCCCCACTGTAAAACATGGCGGAGGGAGCATCATGGTTTGGGGCTGCTTTGCTGCCTCAGGGCCTGGACGGATTGTTGTCATTGATGGGAAAATGAATTCCAGAGTTTATCAAGACATTTTGCAGGAAAACGTATGACCATCTGTCCGCCAACTGAAGCTCAGCAGAAGATGGGTGATGCAACAGGACAATGACCCAAAGCATACAAGTAATTCAACAAAACAATGGCTGCAACAGCACAGAATACGCCTTCTGGAGTGGCCCAGTCAGAGTCCTGACCTCAACCCGATTGAAATGCCGTGGCATGACCTTAAGAGAGCGATTCACACCAGACATCCCAAGAATATTGCTACACTGAAACAGTTTTGTGAAGAGGAATGGTCCAAAATTACTCCAGATCGTTGTGTAGGTCTGATCTGCAACTACAGGAAACGTTTGGTTGAGGTTGTTGCTGCCAAAGGAGGGTCAACCAGTTATTAGGTCCAAAGGTTCACATACGTTTTCCTCCCTGCACTGTGAATGTTTACATGTTATGTGCAATTAAACCATGGCAACATCTAATGTTTGTGTAGTATTATGTTCAGCAGACTGTGTTCTTCTATTGTTGTGACTTAGATGACGTTCAGAGCACATTTTATGCCCAATTCATGCAAAACTCCACGTAATCCCAAGGGGTTCACATACTTTTTCTTGCAACTGTATTTGAGCTGTTAAGGTCATGTTTAACAGAATAATTACATTACACACCTGAAAGGATTCAAAACAGAGTAGCGATTACTCCATCAAGTAGGGACCCCTAATGAACGAGGGGGAATCATTGAGGGGTCTGGATATAAAAATGTGCAAATTATATCATAGCCCATATAACTGCTGGGTGATTCAGATTATGTCTGAGCATAATTCACATAGGAAGACTGTGTAAGAATTACACTTAAGCATGGTAAAATCATGCCAGTATTGTACAAGTGATTGCTCGTGACATTATTAACTAAATAATGAAAACACCAAAGGTGATTCAATATAAAAATGCTGTGATATTATTATTATTAATATTATACAGTATTTATAAAGCGCCAATAGTTCACTCAGCGCTGTACATTACAAAGGGGGACATATAGTGATATAGTAAACAATAATAGTTGTTGGTGTATATAAAAATGTACATAAAAGGTAAGAGGAATAAGAGTGTTTATAAAAATTTCCAATGTTTATAAAAGGTGGGTAAATGTATAAAAAAAGTAAAAAATGAATAATAATCCATAGCAAAAAGATACGCCACAATATAAAACCATATTAGGTAAATGAATAAAAAAATTCTAGAATAGAATGCACATGATCAAATAAAGTTCATAAAATTATATAAATATCGGACGGCGTAGTTTGCCGCGATCCAAGATGGCTGCGTGACACAGGAGCTCCCGCTGGCCAGGGACCTTGCACCTTGATTTCACGTGGAGCGGGTGAGACAGAGCCATAATAAGATGGGGAGAGCGGACCAGAATGTCACCGGCTCCTGTTCCCGCTCTCCACGGGCGCATAACCCCAAGCAGTCCCGACATATCCAGGAGCTGTTCCGCTCCCAGCAGAGGGACAGACCGCAAGCAGCATCCCCCTCTCCCTCCCATCCTCCCTCCACAACAGCAACATGTGCTCAGAGTTTACAGAGCACAGACACTGGGGCTGGCATGGACTCTGTCCCGCAGCATGATCTCTCTTCAGACACACATACACTTTCCCTTAAAAGATCTGCAGGCAGTAGCAGCTGACATTAAAGCTACTTTTAGCCCAGCCCTCAGTGACCTAAGGGAAGACCTTCATTTGTTAAGTACAAGAATAGAGGAGGTGGAATTTACAAGCAGATCTAATGCTGATGCTATAGTGGAGATTCAGCAGTTGTCAGTATCGCATGCATCTCATATCCTTGATTTTTATAGACAGCTTGAAGATCTGGATAATCGGGGTCGCAGACATAATATCAGATTGCGTGGCTTGCCTGAATCTATGGAACATCCCTAAAACAGTTATTGCGATCTTCAATGATCTGCTGGGCCGCCCACCTGCTGCACCACCCATTGATCTGGAACGTGCACACAGAGCGCTTCGCCCCAGGGGCGAAGACTCTGACCCCCTCAAGAGATGTGGTGTGTTGTTTGGTCAGCTTTCCAATCAAAGAAGACATTCTCAGAAGGGCCAGAGAGATGACGCCTTTTATATCAGGTTAATGAGATACACCTGTTCCAGGATCTCTCTTCCATAACCTTGCATCAAAGGCGAGAACTTTGCCCCCTGCTGGAAATGCTTCACTCCCATAGCATACCATACAGGTGGCGATTTCCATTTTGTTTCTCCGCTTAAGATCAGTGGCGCACAGCCTACTTGCAAGTTCCAGAGGATCTCCCCAGCTTCTGTTCCGCACTGGACATTCCTCTAGTTGAGCTTCCAGATTGACACAGATCTTTGCGTCTTCCACATGCTCCTGAATCTGGTCGAGTACCCAGTGACATGGATTGGCAAGGCCCCCATCTCCGCCGCCGCCGATCAGTCCCTTCAACTCCTCCGAGACTTCCTGCCAGAGGCCCCACTACCAACAACAGCCCGACTGCCTCTCCTGCACATCACAGACCCTGCCACGATGCTTAAAGGCCTTTCTTTGGTCTCTTCCCTGACTTTCTCTCACCAGCAATACTTATCCAGATTATGATCTTATCGGATCCCTCCCATCCAACTCCAGGACCATGCAGATAACACCTCGGGTCTTATTTGGCCCCTTAACTGGACACCTTCACCCTTTCATTTTCTGCCGTCTGCCCCATCCACTCTGGACCAGGTCTTTTGATGCCCCTACAGATGATGCCAAATTCGCTTCAACGATCGTGAAGACCTATTTCCTCCCCGTTTTAGCTTCTCCATTGGACTGCCATTCCTGATATACCTCTGCAGGCACCCTTCATGCCACCTGCCTCTCTATTGCGGCATTCTTACTACCTCTGATGGGAGCCTGAGGGATTGTCCTAAAGACTTTGCCCAACCCTTTTTGTAATGCTTATGTTGATTTTGTCTGCTGTATAAAGTCTCTGGAGAGTGCGGGTCTCCAGACCCTCTATGCCCTGCCCCTGTTTGGTCATATGGCCCCCCAGGGGTCCTCTGGTGGTCTTGCAGTGGTCAGAGGTGGATTCCGTACCCTCCATTACGTATTGTTTCCCACAAATTGAGCTTTCTTTCGGTGGTATTTGATCGCCTGTGTGGTTTTTATTTTTTTGCGCTATAAAAAAAGAAGGCTGACAATTTTGAGGGAAA